TAGAGATTAGCAAATCATCTTCTCTTATCTTTTGGGATCTTTCAAAAACCGCCTCAAGTACACTGGTCCCCCGACGCTTTTCCTGAACATTTTTTTTTAATTTTTGATGAAATATTAGGCGTTTTTGGCACAAACGTTCTATTTAGACTCGTAGAGTGGTAATCACTGCTTCATAACTAAGGCAGTGTAGTTATACAAGCTTGGCGTTCTTTTTTATTTTTCGCCTTTTTTCAAACTATTGAAGTTGACAAAATATGCCAACATTACGCTCTGTGATTCAAACAGTGATGATCTGATAACAAAAATGGGTTGAAACGTGTACTTGGCCAATTTTTTCACAAAATTTTTTTTGATTACAAAGACGAGTCGGTCGGCCGGTAGACTTCAATTGTTGAGACGATGTTGGATAATGACGCTATACATGGTGTCGATAACCCAGTCGTTGAATCCAACAGGCGATTATTGTTTTAATCCAGAAAAAGTCCAAAGTGCGCGAGAAAATCGGCACCAATTATGGGTTTTTCACCATACGCAATAACGAAACGCCAAATGAAATGCCTTCTCAGGCCGAAATTGAGTGAGAGGACAGTACAGCCGTATGTGTATATGCGTGTGCCGTTTGATACATACAGCATGTACTCCGTTGTCTTTTTCTTACCTGGCACGAGCGTCTGTGGATATACGCACAAATCCGCGCCGGTATCAATTAGGTATTTGACTTTTGTAACAATTTCCGACACGAATAGGCGGTAAGACCGGAAAATTGGATCGTTCATCGCTGCTAACGATCCGTCGATGCGTTTCCCGATGACATTGAACATGGAGGCGCGCATCGTTTGGCGTGATCACCAAATTTGTAATGGTACCAGCATTTGTCAAATCTTTGAACTGATGTCCTTGAACGAGACTTTGACCGAGAATGCGAGCGAGGCTTTGAACGCTAATGCGAACGAGAACGTTGACTTCTGACTGCACCCGCCAGTTCTGACATGCAAGCCTCGAGACGCGAAAATCTTTGTTCCCGAGCGGCAACGGCCGGATCGGCAACAGGTGAAATAGCAGTGATACTTGGTGGTGACAATATCTCCTGTAATTTATCTGCTTGCGTCGCTAGGATCGATTGTGTGTTCGGCGGCAAACGTGAAAGCCATTTTGTTTTTAGAATGTTCTCTGGAACGGTATCTACAAGGGATTTTAAATGTGTTAAAAATTGTGAGGGCTTACGATCACCGAGAACCTCTTTGTCCAGGAGGTGGTGTAGTCTGGCCTCCTGGGAAGCGATGAGTCTCTCAACGAGGGCGTCCCTTAACGCCTTGAACGCAGTCTGAGGTGGTGGATGCAGGATAATATCCTGGACTTCGGCTGCGGTAGCGGTATCTAGACGAACGGCACCCATGTGGAATTTGTCCACTTCATCCTCGATGCCGGCAAGGTGAAATTGCCCTTCGAACTGAGCAAATCAGAGTGCAGGACGCACAGCGAAAAATGGTGCAGGACGAACTATAAGGAATCTCAACACATGAGTTGTATCAGTTTCCTCGCCCATTTTCACTAAATTTCCCTAGAAATGTTCGAAAGTGCACTAATCACGACAAAAATTGTTCGTGATAATTTTTACGGTGCAACACAACGTCTTTGGGTGCTCTGCGATGTACCAAGATGCACAAAAAAATATAATACGTGGTAACAAAGCGCGTGAAACGATGGGAACGCTATCGAGCACTATGCCAAAACCCAACGTTTCTCGAACATTCCACGAAAAACCACGCGACACGAAAATCTCTTTAATTTTAACAGAAAACGGCACCACTTTAACAATTGTACTTGATAATATGTTAATGCCACAATTTTATTTGTCACGTTGAAGGAATCACGTCGGGGTCACCATTTGTGGGAGTTCGGTGAGGGATAGATGGGTTTTGTAAAGTATAACACTCGGAATTTGCGTAGTATATCGATTAAGATTTATTCACAGCAATGTAACTTGGTTTACACAATGAGAGATGGAACGAGAGTGTGCTCTCACGACAACGGTATTAATCATCCGATCGAGGATGTCCGAATTATTACGAATCGTTGCGAGATATTGTGATAAGATATCCGGTTGCTAAGCCAAGTCCGAATACAATATATTGAAATAATCTGAAATAAATATAATAGTAGCTTCGCCACAAAAAATATTAGAAGTAACGTAAGAAAAAAAATCGAGTCGCATTTTGTTGATCATTTTATGTATTTGATGGGGAAATTTTTAGAATTTTGATATCGGCAGTAGTACAAACGATAATTAAGTTTTTCAATTACGTGAAGGGTTCACAGGCCATTTGGACGCCAACCGATAGAAGAAGCTCTTGCGTCCATATGTGGCATGGATGCTGTACTTGAGGTGTTAATTTTCATTATCTATGCATAAGTCCGGTGGCCTGGCGTAGTAGTTAAGGCCGTTGCCTCACAACGGATAGGTTCCAGGTTCGATTCCTGGCCGGGTAGAATGGTGAGATCTAACCATTTTTAAAGTCTTGATCAATCGCTATATAGTCTCATCAGACTCGAAGCGATATAAAATAAGCATAAAAAAAAAATTATCTATGCATATTTGCCTTCCCCGTTTGATCTTTGTTAAAACTCAACCCATCTCTCCCATTTGACTTTTGTGGCCTCCACACGTGTCGCTCTCAATTCAATTTCCTATTACTCAAATTCTCCTTCTTATTTGACCCAAGTCAATTTTCTACTCGTCTCTTCCGTTCGATGTTTTTCTTCACTTGTCTGCCCTAATTTAACCATTGCAATCACTCCATTCATATCTCCCGTTTGACTCTTGCGATTACTACACTCCTCTCACTCTTTTAACCTTCTCTACCCGTCTGTGCCGTTGAATCGTTGTAATCTCCTCGACTTGTCGCTTTTGTTTGCCCCCTGTGCTTCGCCCACTCTTCCCTCCCTTTGGACTCTCAGGATGACTCCGCCAATATCTTCCATTTGCCCCTTATGCTCATTTTATTCAACTGTCCTGTGAGATAATTGTGATAATTCCACTCAGCTTTTTCTCTCGACCCTCCCTTAACAATTTTTGGGCATGGAAGGCGGCCATGGAAGACAGTCTCGTCATGGAATTATCTCCCTCCCTAACCATTAGGAGATCTGCATGTGGCCCCATTCAATCATCACAGTTCCCCATAAGAAATTAAACAAATCCTATAATATTCCCATAATAACGTCCAAAACCTTTAGAATGTCCCCAAAAAACCTTCATTTGACGCTTTTTATCCTTCACTATATTACAATCAGTTACTCGAAAAACCTATTAAAATCCTTATAATACTTCATCATGGCCTTCACAAAATTCCCATTTTTCCAAAACCTTCAGAAGGGCCCTATGAATTCCATGAGATTTATCTGTGACCTCCATGAAGCCCTTATAGGAATCCAAAAAGAACTGAAAACTCCATAAGATCTCCATATCGTTATAAGGTCAATGAAAAGCCTCGAGGAGATCCGCGCAAGATTTTCTTGTGATCCTCATCGACATCCACATATCCTTTCGAGAACAGTGCAAAGCTTTCAGGAGACCCCCGTAAAACGTTCACAAGACCTTTCCATTCAACCCTCTCTCGACCTTTATAATACCCTTATAAGAACATCTAGCTTTCTAGGTTTTAGAAACCTAGATGAACCACATATGGCTTCTATATGACCCTCAGATGATTGTATGTGAGTCTTATATAATCCTCATTGCGCTATGTGACCCTGATATGAATCCATATGAGGCCCATATGGCCTTCACCTAACTTCCATATGACCTTTATATGACCTTTATATGACACTCATGTGACCCCCATATGATCTCCATATGACGCTCATATGATAATTATTTTGCTCCTTATGACCTTCCTTCTGATTCTGTGACGTTAATCCTGAATCGTTCGTTTTGAGTCTTTTTTTGCATAAAGCAAATTAAAAGATAACGCAAATCTTATAAAAAAAACTCTATAGTAAATCCTGCACAGCATCCAGTAGGTAAGAAATTCCACCGAAAATTCTACTAAAAATTCTATATGAAATCTTATAGGAAATCCAATTCGAAAAACTTGATACGAAATTCCACCAGAAAAATCCTATAGGAAATGTTCGAATTCTGAATGGAACGATCACGTATGAAAAAATTCTGTAGGAATTTTGTAGGAATTTTGTAGGAGTTCTGTAAGAATTTCGTAGGAATTCTATAGGAATTTCATCCGATTGATAGAAATATTCGCCCTAACGGCATGGTCTTCTCCACATTTTGATTATTGATTTTTTCTTTGACTTGCTCATCTTCTGCTTATTGTACTCCAAACATTCAATTCATTTGTTTCCGCAGATTTCCGAATTCTTAGATCAAAGAATATGGGAGTTTCGTGCAGATATTTGAATTTTTCTCTTTCAATGTCCTGGATTCTATTTGAAGTCAATTTTATTTTAAGAAGAAGAATTTAAGAAGAAAACTGAATTCTATGTCACTTTACACATAGCTACTTGAGGATTCCAGATTTAAAATTCGGCTGTTCATTTGATCCCCATGCCAAACGTCAAGCTCTTGTTTCAAGTTTAATGGAACATGGAATAGAAAACAAATTATGATGAATCACATAATTTTGGCATACACCATATTTGACAGAACAATTGATTTATTACTATTGAATAAATATCATATTGGAAATCAATATTGTTTTGAAATAATTATTCCAGAAATTGTTGATCAGCTCATGACCTTCAATGTTGACAACATTTATTAACAATGGATAAACGTGGGAAAAATTTTCCTCGCAAAATTATCCTTCGCACCTAAACAGAAATTCACTGAAACGCCATCGGCCGGTTGAGTTTACTCTCTCCCGTGCCTGACCCTCTTAATTGGATTATTGCCCTTTGCGGTCTCTGGGAATGATTTTTTTTTGTAATCCATTTTTTCTGTGTATTTGAAACACCATACTAATAATTAATTATAATCTCCTCAGTTTCACCGTACTGGAGCTGGTTTGATAAGTCGCCCACCCACAGGCCCTCGCCCCATGACGGCAGTACGGGGTGCAGGATACACAAGCTCTCGTCAGGTGATTTTCGATCCTCTTAATATGGGAAATACTTCCAGGGGTCCAGCACCTCCTCTAGAATCGAGAAAAGAAGATACTCCCGAAGAAAAAATAAAATCAGCTGAGCGAAAAATAATGGATTTGATTGAAAGCTCTGCAGAAGCAGCAGTAGGTGAAAATGTGAGAGTGGCTTTAGAACGAGCCAGAGACGCTTCATCTAGAGAAAGAGTTCTAATTCGTCTTCAGGAACAGGCTGGTCTCAGTGACAGCCACAATGTCGACCTGACCTTGGCAGTTTTATTCAATTTAGCCACTCAATACACTAATAATGAGATGTACACGGAAGCAATTGCCACTTATCAAGCAATAACAAGGAACAGAATGTTCAGTAATAGTGCGCGACTTAAAGTAAACGTGGGTAACATATATGTAAAGATTGGACAACTATCGCAGGCTATAAAAATGTATAGAATGGCGTTTGATCAGGCGCCGGCTGCGCAGAAAGACTTGAGGATTAAAATTACGCATAATATTGGAATGGTATTGGTGCGAATGGGGAGACTTGAGGAAGCTGTCAATAGTTTCGAATGGGTAATGAAGGAGAGGTCTGAATTTAAAGCTGGATTGCATGCAATTTTGTGTCATTTTGCATTGAGTCATCGGGATAAGATGAAACGAGGATTTCTGGAATTAGTGGAAGTACAGTTGAATGTTGATCAAGAAGATAAATACACTATCACGACGGTCAGTATAATTTTTTACTTCCATTTTATTAAGCAAGTGTGAGATAATATTTTTGATCCGGAATTTTACCTTTGATAAGTTTCACTGTCATGAGTGACACTGCAATAAGTTATCCAAATTCGTTGAGAACTTTCAAGGTTTCATCGCGTCATTCCGTATAACTTATGGCAAGCTTCACTGTATTTGTTTAAGCGAAATTTCGAGTTGTCTGTTATTTCGAGTCTATTTCGAGTTGAATAATTATTAAAATATCTTATGACTTTGTTAGGACGATGTCGCCGCAAATATTTTGAATGAAGTGATAAGAAATGATGAATTATCAAAATTAGAAGCGGCAATGCAATCCGAGGCTGAGAAAACTATTTTAACTGCTGCCAAGCTTATTGCTCCTGTCATTGAGGATACTTTAACTGCAGGATTTGCGTGGTAAGAACAATTTCAAAAAAAAAAAAATTCAGTCATTGAAAAAAGAAATTGTTTTTCAGTGTTATTCATGCAAATTTTCTTGTCAGGTGTGTAGATACAATGAAATCCTCAGCATACAGTTCTCTCGCTGCAGATCTAGAGATAAACAAGGCGATGGTATTCCTTTACAATCGAGAAATAGGATTGGCAATTGATACGTTGAAAATGTTTGAAAATCGTGACTCGAAGGCCAATAATTCTGCATCTACCATGCTGTCTTTTATTAATTTTCTTGTAATGACTGCTCTATTAACTCCCGTTCCTCTTCCCAAAACTGACAATTAGTTATGTGTCTTGCAAACCTTCTTTCCGCGTTTATTTCAGCAAGGAGATTATGAACAGGCTGAAAAATATGCCGAGGCAGCAAGGAAAGTGGACAGTTACAATGCAGCGGCTTACGTTAATCTATCTGCTGTTGCAATCAAGAGGAATGAATTGGACAGAGCGCGAGAATTGTTACTTTGTGCCCTTGATAGTGATGCGAGTCATGTTCAGGCACTTTATAATTTAGGTAATGAATAACAAATCTCTTGCATGTATTCAATTTTCCAATTCATCATTTGGTCATGACTATGTCAATAGGTATAGGGGAGAGTGGAATAAAGTGAAAGGGCGGACCAAAGTGAAATATAAAAAAAAAAAGTAATGGTGGAGAAATTCAGACAAATTTTTTTCATATCTGTCAGTCGAAAAAAACGCAAGGTCAAACTTTCCGATGGGTTTAACAGAAAAGATAAATGGATTAATCACAAGGGTCGAACGTTCTGAGGCTCATATGGGAGAGACGAAGGGAGTGATCACTGCACTTATCTCTCCCATTTATTTCTTCAGTGACAAGGAACCCTATTTACCCCTTCGATTTTGGTAAAACATATGTTGTAGGGACTGAAAAATAAAGGACACACCGACAAACTATTGGGTGTATGACTCAATTTTTACAGATTTTTCAGCAAATTTATTTCATAAAAAAAATAGAGAACAACGATCTTAATCCTGGAAATATTGTACATCGTTTTCTATGACCTTACGTCATCTCTCAGGTAATATATGAATCCCGTCGCGAAAGAAACTGGCAGGCTTCGAGGCGATAAACTCATCGACGAATTTACGCATATCATCGTTTTGAACTGTTTATCCATTAAGGCGTGCTGCAATGACCGGAACAAGTGATAGTCGGATGGGGGCAAGTCTGGTGAATATGTCGCATGCGGGAGAACTTCCCATCCCAAGTCCAAGGGCGTCTTCTGAATTGCGCGAGCAACGTGAGGTCGAGCATTGTCATGTAACAATATGACTTACCTGCTTTCTTGCTCAGCAAATAGCCTTTTCCGATCAAGTTCTTTGCTCAGTTTGTTCAATTATCGGCTGTAGCATTCCACAGTCACCGTCTGAACAGTTGCCAGGAGTTCGTAATAAAACACACCCTTCATGTCCCATCAGACACACAGGAGAATCTTCTTTGAGTGGATGCTCTGACCGGCACGTTGACCTAGGTTGTGTTCGGTCAACACATGTGGGACCAACGTTCCAAGTTTTTGGATTTTTCCCATTTGGTGCAAACGCTTGGAAATAGCTGTTTGGATGACTCCTAACTGAGCTGCAAGCTCTTGTTGCATTTGCATTGAGTCTTCATCTAGTAGAGCTTGCAGTTCCGCATCTTTCGAGGTACCACCACTTCTAAAACGTTTGTACCAATAATTACACGTTTCATAAGACACAACGTCGGCACCAAGAACACTACATATTGATTCCCGTGCTTTCGAAGCCATTTTTCCTTGTTGGAATGCGTATAAAATGCAGTGCCGAATGTGCTGTTTATCAGTTGCCATCGTAAACTCTGTTATTCTGAGAAGTTATGTAACTCACGTAGACTTGTCGTTCTGTATTCTGAAACCTTTTATCGGATCCTTTCAAAACCACAAAAGACCGCGAAAATATTTTTATTTTAAATATAATTTTAACTTCGAAGAAAAAATCTGTAAAAGTTAAGTCATACACTTAATAAAATGGTAGAATTTCCTATATTGAAATCAGCACATATTGAAGGTTAGCAAACCTTAGTAAATATCACTGTTGTCATGGGAACAGTTACAATGGAACATCGTAATGGTTCCTATGGGGCATGGTAAGCTCCTCAATGGTAATAGATCCTATGGACATAGGAATAATTACTATGTGACGTAGTAGAATTTTGTATGTAACATGTAGAGCTTCCTATGATAACTGTTACACCGAACTGCTGGTCTGTGGAACCGATAGCAAAACTTTCACTGGTTACAACTATTGATAAATGTAAGAAAAAATTTCAAACTCCCACTAGCTTCCTATTTCATCGGTTCCAATCGATACAAAGCGTTTTTTTTCGCCCCGAGGAATCCATGAAACCACCAATATTTCTTCTAATTTATTCCCTGAGGGAATTGATAAAAAATAATAATTAGCACCAATTATTCATAATGAATGCCATATCGCTGCTAGTTCGATAATCAAGGATTAATAGGCGAGATTCATATGAAAAGATGTTCATAACAAACATTTACAGACGAAGAAAAAAATTGAAATTAAATATACTCATATATTTTGCTTCTCCCGTTCAACCTTGCCCGGTTGACCTTTTCATGGTCTCATCTTTTCTTGTGTGACCTCTTCTCCTTTTAGCTCTTATTTGAACCTTCAGTTACAAAAAGGAGTGATTTATTCATTCAAACAAACGGGAAATGCGATCCAGACGGAGTAGCGGTCTGATAGACCACGGGGTACGGTAAACGTGCGTTTTCCGAGGGGTTCGATGTAAAGGTTAATATGTTGTAATATAACACAGTATACTGAATGAAAAAATATGGGATAATTTCTAACTAATATAGACTTTATTAATTGGAGCTGGAATAATTGTCTAGCTAGCGAAGATAAAGAATATAATAATTTTAAAAAATCGGGCTCATTTTTTCTTTGTTTTGGCACACGGTAGATGCGTTGTTGTTCGGTCACTCCTGGGGTTCACACTCGGTTACGCGATTTATTCCACAATCTGTCGACGCACACGAGTTGATTTAGTTTAATAACAGACCTTTTGACTCTAGCGAAAAGGCCAACCAACCACTTAATAGTGTTTAATTAGTTTAATATCTCACCTATACGGCTCGAACAACTATGTTTATAATTGCGGTTAGAATCTATATTGTTATTTATTTTACCGCGGATTGTTAATCACGAGGTGCCGGGATTGGAAGAACTGACGAAACACCAATTAAAGTAAACAAAGTTTAATTGCACAACTCACATTATAAACACTTCATGTACTAATTCAACGCGAATATTATTCTCATTCACGGAGCTACGATTAACTGTCTCAGAGTTCAAAAGGTAATTGCCTAAATCTGAAGTGCCGATCAGCTGAACGGGCGATGATCGTGAATTTCGGGAATCATGTGCTACCCTTCGAGTGATAACGCGTTTATGAGTCGCAATCGCGAACAGACCCAAAAGCTATTATGGCTACTAAACCTATAATATACCAAAGAAAAGCCTCGGTTATACTTAAATATATTAATTCCGTTGACACTGGAAAAAGACTCAAGTGGGATGCAAAGGGATATGTAATTTTGGATGGACTATCATTAACTGGCCTTAATATTGTGGATCTAATACAAAATGTGTTCGGAGCCCAGAGAACATATTCAGCTAAAGGATGGGAACATTTTGCGGTGTATCTCCAGAGTCTAAACACACCACAGGAGTTTATCAATAATTCTAAATTCCATCGATCTGCACCGGTGCTATCAGATATTAAACATCGAAAAGAACTTGAAATTTCGGATGACAAGAGCTCTGTAGATGAGCGTGATGAAAAAAAGCGACTGGAAAAAAACGGATAAAACTTCCTTACAAAGGGAAGGCCCGACTATCATCATGTCTTTCATTTTAACCCACTGCTTCGCGTAAGTCTCGAATCGTCTCGGTGTAAGTGGAGTGGCGGGTCCGTCCGAGTATTAGTGCGCCATAAAAGAAACACGCTAATGCCCACATACCGCTACAAAACGACGAAACGTGCGGTACTGTGAGACGAAAGAAAGGGTTCCACGAAGAAAAACTATCGGGGACATATTTTAACCGTACAGAGCTGGAGGTATATACGGGGGATAGAAATGTTTGCTCAAAGGATAAATAAGAAATACCTGTAAATGAAATACAAAACTGACTCAATGCCCCGAATATACTCCATGGACCCATTAGCGCTAAATTTCCATGGTTACATTATACAATGATAAACATTGATGGTGTGTGGGAGTCTGAATTGATTGAGTTGAGATCGGCGAAGACATATAATGATGGCATTTCATATTGACATGTGGTCATTGACGATTTAAGCAAGTTTGCCTTGGTCGAACCATTGAAGGACAAGTTGGCACCGCAGGTACTCGAAGTCTTTAACCATATTGTTGTATTCAATGAAGAAAGACACAAGATTATTATTAAATTGGTTGGGGCGGTTTATTAATATAGATAACAAGGTACAGGACAATGTCACACTTATGGATCTCCCAAGAGAATCAGAGTGAATGTTTCCAAAAAGACAGTCGTTACCAAGAGGTCTCCTTCAGTTCTTTCACAATTGAATTAGGATTCGAAGGGGGAGACGTAACACTACTCCCCTCTGCGAAAAGATTGCCGCCCCGGCAATCACACCAGGGACCATTTGAGGTATGACAACTTCGATATATATATACATTTTTTTACGACAAGTGTATTTTTTAAAATTTTTGGTTCTATATGTATACTCTCGGGTTTTTACATTTTGTTCCTTTCCCTATCTGCGTTACCATGGGCCGACTTACTTTATCCCCAACTACACCCCATTCGGGATTGGACTGCCAAGGAAACCATGGAAAACCTCAGTCGTGCAGCCGGCCGATAATGCAGGGATTCCACTGTGTCCATTGGTCACACTAACTCAATGGGCACAGTGGTTCTCTACACTCGTGCCTAGCGACTGTAGTCCTACGCGGTTAGGTATGCCTAAGCAGACACCCATCCAAGTACTGGGCAGACTGAAAAAAAAAAATTCCAAGAGAATTAGAATTTAGAGAGAAAAAATTTCCGCTTCACCCAGCCGGGAATCGAACCCGGGTCTCCCAGATACGCGCCGGGCACTCTTACCGACTAAGCTACCGGGAACCACAGAAATTCACTCTCAAATTCACCTCAAACACCGCCTAACCTCCTTTAGGCATTAAAGAATTCTAAGAGAATTAGAATTTAGAGAGAAAAAATTTCCGCTTCAGCCAGCCGGGAATCGAACTCGGGTCTCCCAGATACGCGCCGGGCACTCTTACCGACTAAGCTACCGGGAACCACAGAAATTCACTCTCAAATTCACCTCAAACACCGCCTAACCTCCTTTAGGCGCTGCGTAGCTAGGATGACCACCAGAGCCACACACTCCCCGCGTGACCACTACAACCACTTTTTACGACAGTTGTAATAGAATGGAAAATTTTGAGAGTTGTCAGA